CGCGAAATGGTCGGGCGCGCGCAGGCACGCGCGCAGACAGGGTGCACGCGGGCGCAGGCGCAGGGTGATACGGAAGTGGTCATCAACCCAGGCGAGTCCGACGAGGAAGAGGACGATCGTCTCGACATATGGCTGGAAAACATGTTGGAGGAGCCATCAAGCCCAATTAATCGACCATCATGCGTACAAGATTGGTCGAGAGGGTGTGATCCGTGGGCTAAGCTAAAGCCAATGAGGCGCAAGACCAAACGGGCACGAAGAAAACGCAAGGCAAAGGTTAATGAATCATGTTGTTGGTGCAAGCCATGTACAAGGAAGGAACGAGCCCAAAAGAAGGAGGCCAAAAGGCGTGGGTTACGATGGGTAAAAGACGGATGGTGGATATCGGCGGAGGATTGTGAAAGGTTGAAGGGCTGGGACCCATGGCCCGAGGCAACGGAGACGAGCGGCGAAAAGCAGGGCGACGGCGATCGGCTAATGGACGAAGGGCGCGCATCGGCCCATGATGCGCGTGGTTGGACGTACAAAGATGATGATACGCAAGCGGAAAACGAGCAGGCCACCGGGATCGGCAATCGGCGCACGGGCGAGACGGGAGCTGCTGGCGTCAACGGGACGTGCGCAGGTGGCCGGGACGCGCGGGATGCGAACAATGGATAGGAGGAGCGCGCGATGGCACGCGAGTGGGACGGCAGCGCAGGCACATGCCTATGCACGGTAGGCATAGGCGAGAGTGGTAGCGCCCACGCGCGCGGGAGAGGTAGCGCCGAGCAGGAATGCGCGAGGAATGACGCGTGCGAGGGAAACGGACGAGGCCTACGTCTCGAAGGATTAGGAGCGCTGGGCGTACACGCGCGAGAGGAAGACAACGGGCAGGGCGCGTGCGCGAAGAGCCACGCGTGTAGCGCGCGCGAGACCGAAACCACCGAGGAGTAGGCAACGCGAGAGGCGGTCGTGCGATGAGGCGGCCGAAAAATAATGGAAGACGTATGATGTGGATTGGATTTGTTTGGAGTGCAAGCCAAGCAAGATCAAGATCTAGTCAATTTAGGACTTTAATATATTTAGTTTCCTTCTTGCACAAAAGTATCTAGAATGTTTAGGTTAGTTAATATTTTATTGCTTTAATATGTTTCCTAGGTAGATTAGAATTAGTCATAGTTAGGATCTATAAATAGGGATGTTCCTTCATTGTTTTTCATGTCGAAGAAGTGAATAGAAAAGAACGTTTGTTCGAAACTGTGTGTTAGAGTCGTGAGATTCGATCATGCAATCGAATTGGTGAGGCTAAGACCCGAGCCAGTTCAAACGATTAGAGAGGCTAAGACCCAATCTATTCGAGAGTGAAGCGAGGCTAATACCCGAGTGAACTCAAGTATCGTGAGAGAGTTAGGCTAATAACCGAGTCGATCACACCTATCGTCGAGAGCAAGGCCGTGGTGAAGCCATGATCGAGAGTTAGGTGTTCGTGAACTTTTTCTATCTTATTCTTTTTCTTTTTTGGTTCGATTTTTTTAGTCTTTTGTGTTCGAAATTTTTCGAAATTTCGTGAGTCTTAAAAAAAAAAAAGAAAGTGTCATCTAGTCCTTTTGTTTTATTTTTTCGGTTATTACCTTTTGTTAAAGGGGCCGAATTTCTCTTCTTTTTGGGTCGAAATTTTCAAAATTCTTGTTCGAATTTTTCATTTATTTTTTTTCGATTTTTTATAGAGTAAAAAAAAATGTCTTATGTACCAATAGACGAGATGGATTGGGAAGATCTCGAGTTATTGGAGAATTTGGAGAGAGAACTTACCCCATGGGAGAGCACATATTTGGACGAGCTCCATGAACGAAGAAATCGAGAAGAATACGAGCGAAAACTTGTAGAAGGTCGAGGAGCAATGGATGGTGAAGTTCAAAACCGTGAAGATGATGGTGCGCTTAATTTTCTAATCCTTGAGGACAAGGAAAGTCTTGAAGACGAGGGGAATGATACGGAAGTGGTCATCAACCCAGGCGAGTCCGACGAGGAAGAGGACGATGGTCTCGACATATGGCTGGAAAACATGTTGGAGGAGCCATCAAGCCCGATTTATCGACCATCATGCGTACGAGATTGGTCGAGAGGGTGTGATTCGTGGGCTAAGCTAAAGTCAATGAGGCGCAAGACCAAACGAGCACGAAGAAAACGCAAGGCAAAGGTTAAGGAATCATGTTGTTGGTGCAAGCCTTGTACAAGGAAGGAACGATCCCAAAAGAAGGAGGCCAAAAGGCGTGGGTTACGATGGGTAAAAGACGGATGGTGGATACCGGCGGAGGATTGTGAAAGGTTGAAGGGCTGGGACCCATGGCCCGAGGCAACGGAGACGAGCGGCGAAAAGCAGGGCGACGGCGATCGGCTAATGGACGAAGGGCGCGCATCGGCCCATGATGCGCGTGGTTGGACGTACCAAGATGATGATACGCAAGCGGAAAACGAGCAGGCCACGGTGATCGGCGATCGGCGCACGGGCGAGACGGGAGCTGCTGGCGTCAATGGGACGTGCGCAGGTGGCCGGGACGCGCGGGATGCGAACAATGGACAGGAGGAGCGCGCGATGGCACGCGAGTGGGACAGCAGCGCAGGCACATGCCTATGCGCGGTAGGCATAGGCGAGAGTGGTAGCGCCCACGCGCGCGGAAGAGGTAGCGCCGAGCAGGAATGCACGAGGAACGACGCGTGCAAGGGAAACGGACGAGGCCTACGTCTCGAAGGATTAGGAGCGCTGGGCGTACACGCGCGAGAGGAAGACAACAGGCAGGGCGCGCGCGTGAAGAGCCACGCGTGTAGCGCGCGCGAGACCGAAACCACCAAGGAGTAGGCAACGCGAGAGGCGGTCGTTCGATGAGGCGGCCGAAAAATAATGGAAGACGTATGATGTGGATTGGATTTGTTTAGAGTGCAAGCCAAGCAAGATCAAGATCTAGTCAATTTAGGACTTTGATATATTTAGTTTCCTTCTTGCACAATAGTATCTAGAATGTTTAGGTTAGTTAATATTTTATTGC